GGCCTCGCCACGGGGGGGGGGGAGGGAGGGAGGGAAGGAGACATGTCGGCGGGCCAGCGAGGCCTTGCTGCCACTGCTGAGGGGGGAAGGGGGAAAGCTCGGCGGGCCGGCAAAGCGCTGCCGCCGGGGGAGGGAAGTTCGGTGGGCCAGCGAGGCACTGCCGCCAGTGCTGCTAGGAGAGGGGGAAGCTTGGCGGGCTGAGGTCAGGCCTCTCCTTGGGTGCCGGGGACTGGGGGGACAGGGGAGAAGGCTCACCTGTGGCTGCTTCTCCCATGGAGCGTCTCTCCCCCGTATCACGGGTCCCCCTTCTTGTGACATTATAAAACCATTAAAATCAACCCCCAACATACATCATTAAAACAGTTAAAAACAGAGTTAAAATATGTACAAGAAATTTTAAAAATCAATTAAAATAGTTACCAGGAAGGAGGAATCACTGAGGAAATGTCAAATGAAACAAAAAAGTCTTCACCGGGTGGCAGAAAATGGCACCAGAAGGACACAGACAAATCTCCCTGGGGAAACAGTGCCATAGCTTTGGTAGAATAACCAAGGAAACCTTCTCCCAGGTTGCCATCTGCCTAATTTCTGAAACTGGGGGCACCTGAAGCACATCTTCCAAAGATGACCATAGGGGTCAGGCAGGTTTGTAAGGGAGTAGGTGGTCCTGCAGGTATGTTGGTTCCAAACTGTGTAGGGCTTTGAAGGTCAAGACCAGCACCTTGAACTGTGCCCAGAAACAAACTGGGAGCCAGTGTAGATGGACCAAGAGGGAGTGATATGGTCCCTACAATCCACTTCAGTCAACATTCAGTACCAAGTGAAGTTTCCAAACACGTCTCAAGGGCAGCCCCATGTAGAGCACATTACAGTAATCTAATCTAGATGTAACCAGAGCGTGCGCTACAATGGCCAGATCTTTTCTGCCCAGGAAAGCTTGCTAACCAGTCTAACCTGGTAAAGGCACCCCTGGCCACAGTTGCCATCTGCTTTTCCAGCTTTAATTTTAGCTGTAATATAGTTATTCTGTATTTTCATTGGAATGGATTTTGTT